ATTCACATATACAAGCACAGAGACAATTTCAACCGAGAAGATGGATTCAAGCTTAGTAACCACTGGAAAGATGTGTTAAATCATTTCTGTTCTTAATTAATTGTAATTTTACGATGACCTTCAGACCGCAGCTCTTTCGCCAGCATTGCCTCTTAATACCTCTCACACCACGGTTAATGGTATGGTTTACAACATGGAGTATACTAGGGCTTCGCAGCTGTCTCTCTCCCCCTCCTCTATTCCGACCATGGACGAACTCGTCCGTCTGAACGGGGCCCGTAGCTATCCGTGGTACGGAAATTTGAGGGTAAGAATCCACCCATTTTTTCGCCATATAGCATTGTGATATATAACGACTCATGGTTGGTAGCTTAGCTGATTGGAGAATATAGAGTTTATTGATAACATGAAGGTAATTTATATTTTAGTTTTTATTGGTTCACTATATAGTACTGTGAATAGCTCAGATGTGTAGTCATTTCTGTGACCAGTCACTAGCAAATCACCCAGTTATTTCAATGCTAAATTCGCCTAGTTATTTCAATGCTAAATTCTCCTGTTTGATTTGTACTAAGTGCCTCGGTGAATGTGTATGCTCTGACTTCAACGTAACTATTTCTGTAGCAGTTACAAGCGAATCACTCAGCCATTTCAATGCTAAATTCTATGCTAATCCCATTATCAAGGGGTGCCTCTGCGGATGTGTATGCCTTAATTTAGCTATTTCAATGCTAAATTCTATGCTAATTCCTTTTAACAATGGGTGCCTCTGCGGATGTGTATGCTTTAACTTTTAACATAGCTATTTCTGTGACCAGTCACAAGCTAATCATTCAGCCATTTCAATGCAAAATTTTATGCTAATTCCTTCGTCAAGGCTCTTTGTTCCTCTCACACAGCTTAAAAAGCCGTGATCTGAACGTGGCTCTCTCACTCCAGCGCTGTCCTACCAGACAGTCTCGCTCCCTTCACCTGATGAAGGCCGCTTGTGTTGTGGCCGAAACGTCGTGAGAATATTATTGTGTTATTTTATTTTATCAATTTATTATTTTATTCTCATTCTACGTGACTTTACCGAAAGAACCAAAGAAGATGAATCATTGCAGTCACGAAAGCTTTAAATCGAAATTTAACCGCCTCTACGGGGAGGGATTCCACACATCCTTAAGATCATTCAACAGACTTCGGGATAAGAAGGCTCAACTAATCGAGTCTCTCACCTTTCTGAAGAGATGCCGCGACTCTAAGGTAATACCAACCGCATTTACACTAACCTCTGCTGTTGCAACTTCTCTCAATGCAAAACGAATTCTAGCTAGAACTAGCTTCGCTCTTATCTCGGAAAAAATCAGACTTACACGCACCGAACTCGATCAGTTAGACAAGACACTCTACAAATCACACTTAAAATTGACAGCAACAATGTCTACATCGGATTGGGAACATGTAGACAATATGACTACCTCTTCGGCTGCCACTATGTCGAACAAATGTAGGGACAATTTGATTTCCAAATTCAATCACCTCTCCAGCAAAAAATCGGATCCACACACCGAAAAGATAGACGTCAACAAAGTCGTAATTAATCGCAGTAACAGTTCCATTTCTGATGGTCTGAAATCCGTTTTAGCTAAAGGTCTAAACTTTGCTGTCACACCGAGACACTTACCGGTTAATGATATCATTGCCAATGTCGACGTTGCACTCAAGGGCTTGAGTCACATCTCTGCAGACGTAGCAAGATCTGAAATCGCTGCAACCCTCAAAAACGCTAAGTTGCCACCTAGTAACATCAGCAAAGACGAACGTTTTGAATTATCTCAATTAAAAAAGAGGGATGATATTGTCGTTCTCTCAGCCGACAAAGGCAATGCCACTGTCATCATGGACAAAACAGAATATAACAACAAAATTCAAGAACTACTCAACGATGGCAGCTATACAAAAATAAAAAGAGACCCCACCAACAGCCTGGTCACCAAAACGAACAAAATTATCTCTGATTCAACAGCATTAATTGATGAGAACAAACAGTTCTTGTTGAAACCCTCTGCTGCCAGACCACCAAGATTATATGGCCTTCCAAAGATACACAAAGAAGATACACCCCTTCGTCCCATCGTCTCTACTATCAGCTCCCCCACCTACAAACTGGCACGTTTTCTGGCTGATATACTGCGACCTTTCACTGGAAAAACCACCTCTGCGGTACTAAATTCTACTCACCTGGTATCGACAATCAAAGACATTTCCCTGTCCCCAAACGACCTGCTTGTCAGTTTTGATGTGGTGTCCTTGTTCACCAAAGTCCCGGTACCTGACACCATCGCTATCATTGAAGACCTGGTTCATCAAGGACTGCATACTGATGTACCCCCCCTGGTGAGACATTGCTTAACCAACACATACTTCACCTGGAATGGAACTTTCTACAAACAAACTGAGGGCACCCCAATGGGCTCCCCCCTATCTCCGGTTGTAGCCAACGTATTCATGGAAAAATTTGAAACTGACGCCATCCAGACTGCCACTCTACGCCCGACCTTATGGAAGAGGTACGTTGATGACACCTTTGTCATCTGGCCACATGGCCAGCCTGCTCTAGACCAATTCCGCGACCACATCAATTCCATACACCCAGCCATCAGATTTACCATGGAGGTCGAAAAAGATGGCAAACTACCCTTTCTGGATGTCTTAATTAAAAGGAGACATGATGGTTCAATGAGCCACTCTGTCTACAGGAAAGCTACCCATACAGATGCTTACTTGAAACCGGATTCCCACCACCATCCATCCCAGAAGAACTGCCTCATCAAGACTCTATACCATAGAGCCCAATGCATTTCCGACCAGGAACACATTACCAGTGAACTCAAGCACGTACACCAGGCTCTCAGGGCTAATGGCTACTCCGACTACACAATCCGCAAAGCCATCACTCCAGTCATGAAGAAGGATCCTCTTGTGGAGCCACTCAAAACCATCACCTTACCCTACATTGCAGGGGTCACTAAAAAGATCTCCAAAATCCTGAATAAACACAAGATCCAGGTCCGATTCAACACAGTACACAAAATCCGTGATTTAGTTCCATCTGTAAAAGATGCTCTTCCAGACATACAGTACCCGGGCGTTTACAAACTAAAGTGCCTCTGTGGTAGTAGCTACATTGGAGAAACCAAAAGACATATCTCGGACCGCATCCGCGAACATAAAGCAGACTTGAAACACGGTAAGACGAACTCCTCTGCCGTGGCAGATCACTGTTACAATTCAGTGGGCTCACATGACATTGACTTCTCCAAGACGGAGGTTCTTTGCAAACCAACTGGCTACCATGAGAGATTCGTTCATGAGGCCATTCACATATACAAGCACAGAGACAATTTCAACCGAGAAGATGGATTCAAGCTTAGTAACCACTGGAAAGATGTGTTAAATCATTTCTGTTCTTAATTAATTGTAATTTTACGATGACCTTCAGACCGCAGCTCTTTCGCCAGCATTGCCTCTTAATACCTCTCACACCACGGTTAATGGTATGGTTTACAACATGGAGTATACTAGGGCTTCGCAGCTGTCTCTCTCCCCCTCCTCTATTCCGACCATGGACGAACTCGTCCGTCTGAACGGGGCCCGTAGCTATCCGTGGTACGGAAATTTGAGGGTAAGAATCCACCCATTTTTTCGCCATATAGCATTGTGATATATAACGACTCATGGTTGGTAGCTTAGCTGATTGGAGAATATAGAGTTTATTGATAACATGAAGGTAATTTATATTTTAGTTTTTATTGGTTCACTATATAGTACTGTGAATAGCTCAGATGTGTAGTCATTTCTGTGACCAGTCACTAGCAAATCACCCAGTTATTTCAATGCTAAATTCGCCTAGTTATTTCAATGCTAAATTCTCCTGTTTGATTTGTACTAAGTGCCTCGGTGAATGTGTATGCTCTGACTTCAACGTAACTATTTCTGTAGCAGTTACAAGCGAATCACTCAGCCATTTCAATGCTAAATTCTATGCTAATCCCATTATCAAGGGGTGCCTCTGCGGATGTGTATGCCTTAATTTAGCTATTTCAATGCTAAATTCTATGCTAATTCCTTTTAACAATGGGTGCCTCTGCGGATGTGTATGCTTTAACTTTTAACATAGCTATTTCTGTGACCAGTCACAAGCTAATCATTCAGCCATTTCAATGCAAAATTTTATGCTAATTCCTTCGTCAAGGCTCTTTGTTCCTCTCACACAGCTTAAAAAGCCGTGATCTGAACGTGGCTCTCTCACTCCAGCGCTGTCCTACCAGACAGTCTCGCTCCCTTCACCTGATGAAGGCCGCTTGTGTTGTGGCCGAAACGTCGTGAGAATATTATTGTGTTATTTTATTTTATCAATTTATTATTTTATTCTCATTCTACGTGACTTTACCGAAAGAACCAAAGAAGATACGGTACTTCGTTTTCTGGCCATTAGTAAGTGGTAAGCCTCACTTGGCCGTGCGTCGAGTCAAAGGAAGTCGCGGGTTTGTGTTCGGCCCGTGGCCGTCGTTCCCCCTCCGTGGCCGGAATCAGCGCGCGCTGCCGCCCCCTCGCGGTGGTGGAAGGGTGGGGGGGGGTGTAGTGGGGGGGGGGTGTAGTGGGGGGGGGGGTGTAGTGGGGGGGGGTGAGAGGGGGGGTGAGAGGGGGGTGAGAGGGGGGTGAGGGGAGGGGTGGATGAGAGGGGGGTGAGGGGAGGGGTGGATGAGAGGGGGGTGGATGAGATGGGGGGGGTGAGATGGGGGGGGTGGATGTGAGGGGGGTGGATGAGATGGGGGGGGGGGTGGATGTGAGGGGGGTGGATGTGAGGGGGGGGTGAGATGGGGGTGGATGAGAGGGGGGTACATGAGATGGGGAGGGGTGGATATAAGGGGGGGTGGATGTGAGGGGGGGTGGATGAGAGGGGGGTGGATGAGAGGGGGGTTGGATGTGAGGGGGGGGGGGTGAGAGGGGGGTTTGATAAGGGGGGGGGAGCCCCGCCCCCTCTGCCCACAATGCCGTGCGCGCCGGGGCCGAACAAGATGGCGGACGGCGTGAAAATGGTTGACGACGAGAAGCAGGCGGGCTGCGCGCCCGTATTCCAGCCCGAGGTAACATCTCTCTCCTCCCCCCTGCGCGTAGCGACACCGCGACTGCTTGTAGTGTGTGTGTATCGCCTTTTTAACGATTGCGGTGATGCGTTGTTCTGTTGCTTTGATGGCCGCCCCACGCGCTAGGTCTGTAGGCCGAGGCTTTCAGCGGTTTTCCTTTCGGCGGTGCCCGGGAGGGGGAGGCTTCTTCGGTCGGGGTCTCTAGGCGACGTCCTTGAAGGAGATCTCTTACCCCAAGCCTCGGCGGTCCCGCTTTGTTGTTGTTGTTATCGGTGTTGTTATTCATGCAACGTTTGTGTTCGAGTTGGAGATAGGAGACCGGTTGATGGGTAGGGAGCAATGCTTTTTGATAAGTGACGTTGCGCACGGACTGCACTGAATCACTGCTGCAGAATCATTAGGGATGGTTTGGACAAACGCCCTTTATTCTCTGTATGCATGAGGAAATCATTAACAAATATGCAACTGAGCGTACATTATGTAGACGCAGATATGCAATCATGACATTTTAACTGCAGTTTGCAATATCTCCGTTTACCTCTGCAAAATGTTATCTTTTAACATGGAGGTAATGGAACTTCTCGCCTACGCTCTACAGCCGAGATTATGCAATCATTATTTATTCCTTAGCATTGCTGTGCTGTTGGGAGATTACACGATTACAACTGGCGTCAAATGACATTGCATTGAGTCATGGGCCATGTCTGAGCGGTGTCCTTGCACAGGGTTGTAAACATGCATCACGCAGCGTTTCATACTGTGGTACTTTACGTCAACAAATTCGTTCCTCGGCTACCTTTACACGTGTTTTGTAGGGTTCACAACTTTTAAAGTAATGTTTAAAATAACTCGATATGCTTTGGCTAAGTTACTGTGAGCATCTGAGATCGCAAGTGCAGGGTGCCACGCATGCTGAGCAGTAACTGGAGCGCAGTTGCGCTCAGTAACACGTCCGAGGAGGGTGCTATCCTGAAAAGTGCCGCGTTAAGCGGGGTATTGAAGTATACACATTACGGGGGCATAAATACATAATCAAACAATGCACGTTTTAATTACATTTGCACTATAACATCAACCTGCAGTCATCCATACCTGTCAACTCATACGGTTTGCACGTATTCTTGTACAGCGAGATTGAGTTTTCAGGTCCATACGCCTTACAGTTTTAATCCGGGCTTTGTAGGATGAACGTTGATATTTATAAGGGCGCGGGGTGATCAATAACGTCTGAATTGGTCTTTAATAAAGTAGGCACTGATAGTGGTTGACAGGTATGAGTCAAACCATGGCACAACTGATGAGGAGGGTACGCCGCCTGCTGCATCATCATACCGTTCAGTCGCGCAGCTCAAGTAGGGTAAATCGGCCTCGATCGCTTAGAAACCGCGTTCCGTGTTTTTTGCGAAGCCCGAATAGAAGAAGAAGAACGTTCGCCTTGTATGGACGCACATTAAGCGCGATCTTTCCCATCGCGGGGGGTGGTTACGTTCTTGAACATAGCTGCAATCGGTAAATCCGCCATCGACAAACCCAAACAGGGTTTGGGTTTTTTTACGTAAAATTTGAATCATATTTTGGATTGTGTTAAATATAACGTGTACTCTACAGCAAATGTTTAGAATTTTTTTTAAAAAAAAAGTATACTGGCGGACCTCGCTTAGTGCCCTAAGATGTGTTCCTGGAGAAGTGAGCGCGAATCGTTTGAGTGCTGAAGGAAGTCATAGCATTCATTGTATGTATGGGGGATGCCTTCCCCACAGCGTTTTCTTACACAGGAGGAACATATGAGGACTTTATTGGGGTATCGGTAATAGCCCCAAAAATTCAGATAGTAAGCATTACTCTATGAATAAAAAGGATATCTATTTCATAATATTATGTACTTTACTTCCGAGCGCATTCTCTGGTACTCGTATACTCTTTGCGTATGTGGAATTTCTTTCGCTCCGTACGTAGTCAACCGTGATAATTGGAGGTACTGTAAGCACATTGAATAACAAATCAATTTTTACTAATGTAATCGTGACCTGGGGACGGGGTGGGGGCGTCATTGGCTGAGCGGATGTAAACAGAGCGAGCTCGTTTGGTCACCGCTGCTGCCTGCTCTTCAGTTAAAATATACATTGTCGATTTTAGAATTTTCTTTCCATCAAATGCTTACCCAAGAGTGTTATAATGAATCTGCGTTCTACGGGGTCGCTCCAAGGAGGTCTTCCTTTACAGTGTTTACCTCGTTATTCGCGAGGGATGCGTTCTGGAGATGCTCGTGAATAGCAAATTCTGCGGATAATGATATTCGCCTCCAGAAACCTTTTCTTTTAATGGATTACCTTAAATACATAAATAAGCAATTAAATTCATGGAAATTATCTCATCACTTTGTCGCATCACATTCTCTCTCGTTGCAGTCGTGTAGAGTGCCAGATGCGATTCGCGGACAGCCAAAATCGCGAATAGCAAGTTCGTGAATAACGAGGGAATGACTGTATACTTAAGTAAACATGAAAATAAAGGTAGGGATAAAAAGACAAGTGCATTAAATACTCTGCTGTTAAAAAATAACAAACTAAACTACTTTGCATGAATGTTGATTATGAAGTGTATTCTTCAGCGATCAGCAAACTGTCTCTGAATTTGGTGTGAATGGTAAAAAAAACTACAATAGGTGAAGTTTGAGTGTAAATAGATCATATGGAAGATGAGTTATTGTAGCCCTTTATTTCGTTAACCTTATACAGAACGTACAAACCACATGCACTTGTTATACCAGTGACATACAGTAATCACCACATTGTCACATTAACTGCATTGCAAATATTTGTCTCCGGACTATTAAAATATTACTACATTCATGTGTAATCATTTTAGAAAAAAAGTGTCTGTATTTAATTCTAGGCTGCGGAGGAATAATTTCTACTTTTCATTTATAACTAATAAAACCTAGGCAGCACACAGCCCATTGGTAGGGATGACTGCTATTGTGTGGGATTATCAGCTTAGCCAGCAGCATTAGCAGCAGGGAACTTGTCGGGTGCAGCAAACCCTTGGGGATGAGCCCTCCCATCTGGCACCTGCAAAGACCGGGTCACTGGGTAACAAAATACGTAGCATTAAAGGAGGATGGGTGAAGTGCTCGAAATAAAGATGGGCATTTAAAAGAAGATGCAACCCAGGACGTACACAGCTGCTGTTGATGCCCTACCCAAGCTACGTATCAGTTTGAAGCTTTCTAAATGATAAAGCAAGGTTGAAATCACGTGTGTCCACCATAGCTGCTCTCGTGACAAGCATTGACATATGAAAACATGGGAGCGTTGTAAATGGAGTGCCATAAAGTGTGCTTAACTATATGTGATGAAACCTAAAACCAGTATCAGCCTGGGCATAGTCTATAAGTGGTACGTTTAATTCTTGATTACTTAGTGCGAAATTATACATGTTTCAGCTTAACCATGCTTGCAAAAAAAAATATCTATACATGTGTGCAGGTTAATTATAAATCTGTCCCTCAACGATGGTCAGTGATTCGGTGACCGCTAACCCAAAAACATCCGCAGGTAATCTGATTACTGTTAAAATGGCTGAGTAGCACGCTCACTGAATTGTTTTGACCCCGTTGTAGCAATGCACAAGGGGTGATAATTGTGGGCTTTAGGGCTCCTTTTGTCAGTGGTCTCCAAGGCCGTTTTAATTGTTTTTACCTAAATCTGTTAACATTCCTATCACCAACTTAGTTTTCATTCTTTGGAGAATATAAAGTAGCTGATCTTTATATATATTTTTTAAAAGTTGAGTAAGCAACTGAATTGTAATATAATCAATTTTAAGTATTAAATGTTAACATTTGCATATTGAAAACTAACTCAAAATTACGTTTCATTAAACAAGCATTTATGAATGAATTAGCTTCGTCCGATTTTTGTAATTTAAATTGTAATCATGAGCAGTGTGACATTTAGAATTTTGTAGTGCTTAAAATTGGCCTGTTGTTTTTCTACAAAAACTGTTTCAGCTTTAATTACCTACTTAGAAAAAAACTTACACCAATAACAATACTTTATAAGAAAATAGGTGACGTTTCAGGCAATGGTCCTTTTTCATTCCTCATAATTACCTACTTAGCTGTTTTCCTCAATAGAGTGCTTGCTGGTATTGCCTAACAAATTAATATTTGGTCTGAATGTAGTCCGGTTTTATCATAGACCTCATGCATTACGAATGGAAGTCTCTAAATCTGGATTTTTTTAGTTGAAAATATAACAGATAACTTTGACAGTTTCTCAAATTAATACAATACAGTAAATGGTATGTGTGTGTTAATGATGGTATTAACCCCTTTAATTCCCATGCAATAAACATTTGAAAATATGTGATTAAGTAGCTAACTGCAGTAATAAGTAACAATGTGGATGGTTAAGAAATCTGGATGTTCTGCAAAAGCAATTGTTTATGTTAATTTTTGATTCATATTATGCTATGCTTGTGCATTTGCAGTCTGAAACGAAGGCCAGTTTCAACAATAGCCAAGGCTTCAACGATTCTTCTGGCAAACCGCAAAAACACCATTCAGATGACTACAGTACCTGGGATATCATCAAAGCAACACAGTAAGTGCAGCCACTCTACTAGCTCGTGATTGTGATGCAGTGCAGTTATTGCCATTTCCTATAAACAATTGTTAATTGTATGCAGCACAGTTTATAATTATTACCGTACTTCCATATATTCTTATCTAATAAAGTCTCAATTGTGTTTCTTTTCTCAAGAGGATCCAGCATTGAGATGTTTGGCTCTTTCCATTAATTGAGTGCTTTGCATGCGAGAGGAAAAAAAAACATTTACTTATAAACTCATGAATACAACGGGATAACACTCAAATATCTACATATATTTACAAACTAGCCCAGTAAGATTGTCAGTTTCAAAGGTCTATAACGGAACTACAAATCCTGCCCCAACATTTCGGGTTAATAGGCTTGAGTCACCACACCCAGTTTAAACATGCTCTGTGATACACACTTCATAATAGACAAATCTGATATGTGTATGCCCATATATTAATGTGGTTTGTTGTTGTGCTCAGATATGGGATCTTTGAGCGCTGCCGGGAACTGGTAGAAGCGGGTTATGATGTCCGACAACCAGACAAGGAGAATGTCACCCTGCTGCACTGGGCAGCCATCAACAATCGCATTGATCTTGTAAAGTGAGTCAACCGATTGACAAAGCAGCCGCTTCATTAATTGCCACTTGCTGTGGGGAAAGTGCATTCGCACCAGCACAGGAGCATTATTACTTTCAGTATAATTACACCAATGGCCATAGATGGACATGTGGATGAGATACTCTAGTTTCACAAGTGTGGACTGAGTCATAATGTAATAACTTATAGATAATGAGTATTGCTGATATAACATCAATTTGTATTCTACATGAGGATGGAACTTCAGTTATTGCTTCCCAAAAGATGGACTAAGCAGTAATCAACAGGTTATTTTTACATTTTGATTTAAAGCTTTCGTGACTGCAGGGATTCATATTCTTGGTTCTTTCGGTAAAGTCACGTAGAAGGGAAACAATAAAATAAAAATATATAAATATTGTTTTATATATTTTGTATTTTATTGTTTCCCTTTTACGTGACTTTACCGAAAGAACCAAGAATATAGGTTATTTTTACTCTATTTTTTCAGATTCGTAAGTTGTACATTATTTGTTTTACAATATTTTAGCAGTTTCTTCTTTGCCTAACCCCCCGCATAGTCCATAATGCTGTATAATGCCGCTACTGGATTAGCTCTGGCAGCTCCCGCTGCTTGATTGTTTTAATATTGAAAAATACATTCTGTTTATCTGCAAAACCTTTCATGCACAGCATAGTAGTTGCAGGGTGTCTTCTTTATCAAGAGCAACACTGACGGCACATCGTGGGTGAATTGCTGAGCTCGTGGGGCATACGAATCAGGGAAGTTAAAACATGCATTGTAAAAAACACGGAAGGTAAATTAATAGAAAACACGTTTTCCTGCTGATGTAAAAAGAGGTTAATGGTTCTGATGCTTCCTTTAAAAAGACTTTAGTGTTTGTAAAGATTTATTTTTTATCACATGATTTTGTGCAGTGTTAGTCCGAAATGGGACATAAATATTGATCTCCGTTCATGATTAAAGGCATCGGTTATGAGGCACAATTGTGTTGTATTTAGACAATATAATAAGGATTTGTTTTTTTCAACCAAACTAGTACATTACAGTAGATTTGTTGCGTGAAATTCTGTATTTAAGTTATTTACGTTAAGATGAATATGTTGGTCAATCATTTATTTGCATGCACTCTTTATCAGAATTATGTCTTCTGTGGCACTGCTGATCTATATATATCTCCAGGAATAATATTTTAATCTAAGGCATATGGTGGAAAATTTACCCATGTCATGTTTTCCCTACCTAATATTAATCTCCCGCTTGCTGATATTACAGATTATATCTGTCATCTTAATTGGGTTTTATATTTGGTGCATTAAATTGATTAGTTTATTTAATGTGTTTGTTTTATTAAACGTGCATATGCTTTTTTATTGATTTAACCAAAGGATCACCATTTAAAATAGATTATTTTTCTTTAACAGCCCATTGTAGTTTGACTAAATGTGGAAAGTTTATTATACTTCAGTACACTTGCTTAATGGTGAAACCGTGGGATGTTTTAGACCAGCAAGCATCCAAATTAGGGTGCTGAATGTTCAACGTAAAAGACAGCATTCTTTAATGGTAAATGTACTCATAGTTTGGTTGTATTTAAAACTCATGGCGTGTATGAAAATAATTCTCCTTTGCACTGGATGTTATTGGAGGAGTGATATTTCAGGGAGTGACATTTCTGGAGGGCAATGCTTAGCATGTGGGTGGATGAATGGATGATATGAAAATCTGAACTTCATGTTGTGAAGGTTCTATATTTCGAAAGGAGCCATAGTGGATCAGCTTGGAGGAGACCTCAACTCCACCCCTCTTCACTGGGCCACACGGTAATGTGCCAGTCATGGCTTTCACGTGGCCATGGAAAAAAATTACACTACATTTCACATTCAGAAATTGCAGATGGGCTCCTCTGCCACATGTCACTTTATGGCACAAGCTCTTATTTAACATTTCTGCAGTGCATAAATAAATGTGCTCTTTGCTCTGAATGTGTTACCTTTAAGGTCATACCCTTCAAATGCAATTACTGAGAACACGAGCAGCTACTAGCATCACTGATCCATCTAACTCTCTTGTACAAAGCACGCTAGAGAATTATTGCAATGATTTCAATCACTCTAAGTAATACAGTCATTTGAATCTTGTGTTAGCTATTCATTGTCGCTACATTTTGTTAGTTAGACCTCTTTAAAGTTGTGAAATACATTTGTTAGAAACATCATGGAGTTGCTGTTTGAGTAGATACACATTTTCTTCCCAAGTGCAGCACATTCACAATTTAATCAACATCTGTGTAGTCACAACTTTCGGAGCATTGTACATGACACTTGTGTTTACAAGCCCTGTAACTGACATTTAAAAATGTCATCCAACTGGGGTTTTCACAGCACATTTGTGACCTTTTATTTGTTTAGAACATTGCCTTGTCGTGTGCATCACAATTAGTTTATTATTGGTTTTCAAAAAAGACATGGTTTATGGTACACTTTGTGTTAGCTGAAGGCAAAAATTAACTGTACCAAACCAGTAGATGAAGTAAACATCTGATTATCAGTGTTTTCATGACGTGTTTTCCAATATTGTCAAAACTGTTATTTGAAGACAAGGTCAATTGAGTCTGGACATCTGTGAAAAGGAGCTTCATATCTCATCAGGTTTCTCCAGGATAATTAATTATACTGATTCTTGAGGTCAATGTCAGAATGTAATAATTTACAGCCCTATTTCAATCCACACATGAAGGTCTCCTCTTGCCAACTTAGCTGTGGGTTTTTAGTTCTATCATAATTCACCACACTGGTTTGGGCAACTTGCACCTAGTAACCTGAATTAGATATGTGGCCAGAGTTAACATCGTCCCTGTAATTTAACCCACAATGAGCTGCTTGGTGAAAAATGGTGAAATAAACCCTTATGATCAACATGGTGTAGGAAGGACTTTAGCCAAGGTTTTAATTGAAAAGGGCAGCAATCCCTCGCAGTAAGTTGCCGCATGATGCATTTTACATATACGTTGCTCATGAATTAGGGAATATTTCCTTATTTTAATGTTTTGCATATGCGTAAAAAGAACGCGCAAATATGTTTGCATATTATGTTTAACCTAGGAACGCACGTGGTAAAAAAATACTATTTGATGTAATACTCTATTGTACGCGCACAGCGTGTACGGGCTGAGAGGAAAAGGAGCCCTCCACATGTACTGTACGGGCATAGCGTAGCGCGTGGAGGCGGACATGGTGGAGTTGCTCGAGTCTCATGGTGAGGACCTGTCTAATGAGGTTCTGATGCAGCTAGAACAACAATGAGCTGAGGAAGATGCCGATGAAACGATACTACCACCGCGAATATTAACTGGCGTTCACTCCTACAAGTAGCTGTACCAGCAGAAGGCAAATGTTTTTCAGCTGTCTTTGGACGGATTTTTTTTTTATTCTGCAATCAGAAGATCTGGAGAAGAGCCCAGAAGAGAGCAATCTTCTTCTGGTCAATATTCTTGTTGCTCCAGTTTCATTGACAGATGAAATCCCTTGAGCCTACCTCTTCATCTATTTAACTATACCTCTGCTCACCCCAATAGATGCATACAATTGGTACATAGGTGCATATGTACTGTGCACTAATTCCTTACCACCTGTGTTTCAGGCAGGGCCACCTGTCCATGGTGGTGCTGCTGATGAAGTATGGCACAGATCCCTCCCTGTTGGACGGAGAAGGCTGCAGCTGCATTCACCTTGCGGCTCAGTTCCAGCACACAGCCATCGTTGCATACCTCATAGCTAAGGGCCTGGTGAGTGGAGCGGTGATGCTAAAAATGAGCTCAATGACATCCACATTGATAATTATCAATCTTCTTAATTCTTTTGGTTTGGCAATGTCATTTTAAAATTGAAACTGTAACCGATTCGGTTGTAATCCATATAGATGCCAGTGCATTATACTGCATTGACTGACAGAAAGCATTCATGCATGTCGCTTTTTATCATTTGGATTTATGTCAAATATAAAACTGACCACTTCTCAAGATACTATACAAAAACAGTGGCCATAATCATTTTATTGAGGCAGTTGTTAATAGACTGTTCAAAAAGGTAGGTCCTTAACCTGGACTTCAGCAGTGGCAGTGAGTGAACAGTACAGATTGCTGGGGGAAGGTAGTTCCAGATGGGGGGGGGGGGTGCAGCAGAAAAGAATGAGCAATCTCCCACCAAATGAGTACTTTATATCAATGTTCAATATAGTGGCTTCTCATCTGCACCAGCTTGGTGTAGTGGTTATTTTTATATTGTGGGTAAAATAAGTTTGATTAATAAGTCAGGTTAATGGGTAAGTATAGTTAAAACTGTCGGGTTTCTTATTAAAGAGGTTTTGAGGGTGGTTTTGGTTACGTTTTAAGAATCTGGCTTAAAGCATGTTCTTCGAGCATAGTTTGAAATGTTTACCAAACGTTTCATGTTAGTTTGTGCCTTTACGACATTTTTTAATGCAACCTCTGGGCCTGTTACTTCAGGATGTGGACATGATGGACCAAAATGGAATGACGCCGTTGATGTGGGCGGCATACCGGACGTACGGGTAAGAGGGCGTCCTCTAGTTTGCGCCAGACACGAGGAACGGTGGACATTCAAAGTGGTAGTTAGCCGCGACAATTATCATCTGGATTATCGGGTTTAGAAAAATAAATCTATTTTGCAGTGTCTATCATGATGGTAATTTAAATAAATGCAGCAGCAGTTGATTGTAGCTGGTTCTTTTGTGGGATAAAACAGCACCGTTTGATTATAATTAGTTCCAAATTCATTTTCGGGACTTGTATTTGAGCACAAAAAACATCAAGTTAGTGCGTATGAAAGTAATTTGGAGAACTCTTAAAATTTCAAATGTCGGTTTATAAAAATGTGCTGTTGGATTTAAATTGACAAGCATTTTGTTGGATCCCAAAATACATAATGAAAATAATAATGAGGTCCATGCCAGAAGTCCTTCTGGACTGTTATTTTACCAGCAGTGTTTTTTTTTTCAATAGGGAAACTCATCCATTTTGACATTGTGACTTTATGGGTCACATTAATAGGGTGTGGTATGTTCTCTGTTGTGTTGAGATGCATTAATCGGGAATACATTTAAATTAACAAAATAATTTACCATTACAATTGTTATATTTAACACATGGTTTATTTAAATATGAACTGAAATAAGTTACATTTTGACTTAACTTTCGTGATTGCAGGAATTAATATTCTTTGGTTCTTTTGGTAAAAGTCACATAGATAGATTTTTTTTTAAAATCTGAGTTAGTGTACTAGCAGTCTATAATGTAGACTAGCAATGGTTATTAATCTGAGTGAGTGTACTGGCAGTCTATAATGTAGACTGTAGCCTGGTTATTAAGCTGAGTGAGTGTACTGGCAGTCTAATGTAGACTGTAGCAATGGTTACTAAGACTGTCAGTACACTCACTCAGGTTAAGAACCATTGCTACAGTCTACATTATTGACTGCTAGTATGCTCACTCAGTTTAATAAGCATTGCTACAGTCTACATTATAGACTGCCAATACGCTCACGAAGCTTAAAAAAACAGGCTACAGTCTACATTATAGACTGTCAGTACACTAACTCAGGTTAATAACCATTGCTACAGTCTACATTATAGACTGCCAGTACACTCACTCAGGTTAAGAACCATTGCTACAGTTTACATTATAGACTGCCAGTACACTCACCAAACTTAATAACCAGGCTACAGTCTACATTATAGACGGCCAATACACTCAGATTAAGAACCAGGCGACAGTCTACATTTCTGTTTTTATTTCTTTTCTTATTCACTTTATTTTTTTTTTTCTATCTACATGACTTTGCCGAAAGAACCAAAGAATATGAAATAAGGTAATCAACTAAATCTCATGATACTGAATGTGACCAACTTAAATCATATTGGCATGATTTTGATTTAAAGCTTTCTTGTCTGCAGGGATTCATATTCTTGGTTCTTTCGGTAAAGTCACGTAGAAGGGAAACAATAAGAAATCTATATATTTTTTTATTGTTTCCCTTCTACCTGACTTTACCGAAAGAACCAAGAATACATATTGGCATGGTTTGGTGATGCATTTTGTTTTGTAATGTCAGTTTCTCTGTAAAAAAAACATTGCCGTTTCCATTGGCTGTGACGTAGCGTGGACCCAACACGGCTGCTGCTCACATTCAATGCGACGGTGAACCTGGGGGACAAGTTCCACAAAAACACAGCACTGCACTGGGCCGTCTTGGCCAGCAACACCAATGTGATCGGCCTCCTGCTCGATGCCGGAGCCAACGTTGACGCACAGAACGTCAAGGTGACGGCACATTGATGCGTCGCCACTAAACTTAATTCCCTCCTATTTCTGAAGTCCATGTTGGTTTATTCCACAACACACTTTGGTCTACAAATTGAACCCCTGCTTCATTGTTTGCAGGGAGAGAGTGCTCTAGACCTTGCCAAACAGCGGAAAAATGCCTGGATAGTAAACCGGCTACAGGAGGCAAGACAAGCCAAGGGGCTGGACAATGCCTCCTTCCTGCACAGGTTTAAATCAGACAAGGTATGTCATGTGCATTGTGCCATTGCCTCACTTGGTTTTTTACACTACTATCACAGATGCCCTTGGGATCTTGTTCTTTCGTTTCTGTTCTGAAATGTGTACTTGCCTCGGGTGTTCCCATTCAGTCGGTACGTCAGAAAGTGATGCTGGGCACTCCTTTCTTGGTGATCTGGCTGATCGGTTTCATCGCTGACTTGGACACTGGCTCCTGGCTCATCAAGGGGGCTCTTTACGTCGGGGTCTGGGCTCTCGTGCAGTTCCTGTCAAAGTGAGTTCCATTTCGTGGTGCACTTAAAACCCAGGATGGAGCTGCCCTTGTGTAATGGTTACCACACTCCACTTGCAACCAGAGGTCGCCGGTTTGATTCGATCTTCCGGCGTAGCAATTGAAACAGTGGGCAAGTCTCTCAAATCCCCCCGCCTCTTATCTATCTAGCAGTATGAATGGATACACCACAGCTAGTCGATTTAGTAGATTGCATGTGGTGGGGAAAGTGTGGGTCTGCCCACTTTTCCAACACATCTGGTCTGAAGAGAAGACCAAACACCCTCAAGAGTTCACTCCAGTGGAGACCCTTCCCTCAGGAATGGCATACGCAGCAATTGCAGGGCCACACCTTTAGAGCCTGGAGTGCGTTCAGAAGTTGGTGAATGGCTGGTTAAGGCTCATGGAGCATGCTCTCTCTGTTGTTTCTATTGGCTCTGCTAAGATCAAGTAAATTCTTCTTTGGTTCTTTCGGTAAAGTCACGTAGAATGAGAATAAAATAATAAATTGATAAAATAAAATAACACAATAAAATTCTCACGACGTTTCGGCCACAACACAAGCGGCCTTCATCAGGTGAAGGGACGAGACTGTCTGGAGGACAGCGCAGGAGTGAAAAAGCCACGCTCAGATCGCGACCTTTAAGCTGTGTGAGAAGAAACAAAGCACCTTGACAAAGGAATTAGCATAGAATTTAGCATTGAAATAGCTGAGTGATTAGCTTGTGACTGGTCACAGAAATGGCTATGTTAAAGTTAAAGCATACACATCCGCAGAGGCACCCCTTGACAAAGGAATTAGCATAGAATTTAGCATTAAAATAGCTGAGTGATTAGCTTGTAACTGGTCACAGAAATAGCTATGTTAAAGTCAGAACATACACATTCACAGAGGCACCTAGTACAAATCAAACAGGAGAATTTTAGCATTGAAATAACTAGGCGAATTTGGCATTGAAATAACTGAGTGATTAGCTTGTGACTGGTCACAGAAATGGCTATGTTGAAGTCAAGGCCTATACATCTGAGCTATTCACAGTAACTGAGTATACACTACAATATATAATGAATACTACATAGTGAACCAATAAAAAACTAAAATATAAATTACCTCAATGTTATCAATAAACTCTATATATTATCCAATCAGCTAAGCTACCAACAATAAGTCGTTATATATCACAATGCTATATGGCGAAAAAATGGGTGGATTCTTACCCTCAACTTTAGCAACACGGATAGCTACGGGCCCCGTTCAGACGGACGAGTTCATCCATGGTCGGAACAGAGGAGGGGGAGAGAGACAGCTGCGAGGCGCTGTTATACTCCATGTTGTAAACCATACCATTAACCGTGGTGTGAGAGGTGTTAAGAGTCAATGCCAGCGAAAGAGCTGCGGTCTGAAGGTCATTGTAAAATACAATTAATTAAGAACGGAAATGGTTTAAAACATCTTTCCAATGGTTACTAAGCCAGAATCCATCTTCTCGGTTGAAATTATCTCTGTGCTTGTATATGTGAATGGCCTCATGAACGAATCTCTCATGGTAGCCGGTTGGTTTGCAAAGAACCTCCGTCTTGGAGAAGTCAATGTCATGTGAGCCCACTGAATTATAACAGTGATCTGCCACGGCAGAGGAGTTCGTTCTACCGTGTTTCAAGTCTGCTTTGTGTTCGCGGATGCGGTCCGAGATATGTCGTTTGGTTTCTCCAATGTAGCTACTACCACAGAGGCACTTTAGTTTGTAAATGCCCGGGTACTGTATGTCTGGAACAGCATCTTTTACAGATGGAACTAGATCACGGATTTTATGTACTGTGTTGAATCGGACCTGGATCTTGTGTTTATTCAGGATTTTGGAGATCTTTTTAGTGACCCCTGCAATGTAGGGTAAGGTGATGGTTTTGAGTGGCTCCACAAGAGGATCCTTCTTCATGACTGGAGTGATGGCTTTGCGGATTGTGTAGTCGGAGTAACCATTAGCCCTGAGAGCCTGGTGTACATGCTTGAGTTCACTGGTAATGTGTTTGTGGTCGGAAATGCATTGGGCTCTATGGTATAGTCTTGATGAGGGAGTTCTTCTGGGATGGATGGTGGTGGGAATCCGGTTTCAAGTAAGCATCTGTATGGGTAGCTTTCCTGTAGACAGAGTGGCTCATTGAACCATCATGTCTCCTTTTAATTAAGACATCCAAAAATGGTAGTTTGCCATCTTTTTCGACCTCCATGGTAAATCTGATGGCTGGGTGTATGGAATTGATGTGGTCGCGGAATTGGTCTAGAGCAGGCTGGCCATGTGGCCAGATGACAAAGGTGTCATCCACGTACCTCTTCCATAAGGTCGGGCATAGAGTTGTAGCCAACGTATTCATGGAAAAATTTGAAACTGACGTGACTTTACTGAAAGAACCAAAGAAGATGAATCCTTGCAGTCACGAAAGCTTTAAATCGAAATCAAGTAAATTGCCAGGTTTATTTGGCCCTTTAGCAACATGTGAAGTACACCCATGGTCATCTTAGCATTGCACGTTGACTTGCGTTGCACTGAATGGAACCGTCGTTAATTTATGAGAATAATACAGAAAAATGGCTGCCGCGGGGTCCACTTTCTGCCTCGCCTCCTCCCCACCCCCCTTCTCTCTCCCCACCTGCAGCCTATCTCTCCAGTGCTGCCACGGTGGTCCACCTTACTCCAGTGACCCGGGTGCTGCTGCGGGGTCCACTTTCTGCCCCGCCTCCTCTGTCCCCCCACCTCCTCTCTCCCCCCCTACTGCCGAGGCCTACTATATAACCTCCTGCCACGGCAGATCGCTCACCTACTTCAGCAGTGATTTCTTGATGTCCCACCTGATGACGATTGCTTGTGTTGCGATCGAAACGTCGTGATCTATTATTTTTCTACCTACGTGACTTTACCAAAAGAACCCAAGAGTGTGTAATCATTGTTTAATTTTCTATTTGCAGGACATTTTTCGACCACTCCATGCACAGTGCCCTGCCTCTGGGCATCTACTTGGGAACTAAATTCTGGATGTACATCACCTGGTTTGGATGGCTGTGGCCAGATATCCTTTGCTTTCAGCAAACCATTGTACAGGAAATCCTCGCCAAATGCGGTTTTGCCGAACATGTGTTTTGTCTATATACGGTTTACTAAATAAGGAATATTTTCTAGAATACGGGGGTAATATTTTGGCTATGAGTGGTTGGATGCTGCTAAGACGCTCATCTTCGTGTCGAAAAGTAGTGAACGGTCCGGTTGTACTGTCCTGTATATGCTGTGGATGAATATTTCATCACCATCTTCCCTGCGCAACACTCATACTGCGGTCTCACTTTTTAATCATGGCCCTAAATGCAAGTTGAGTGGTGGTTATTGTAGTGAGGAATTCCGAGCAAAGTAATGATGTTAGTGCAAAAAGTGTACTTGTTAGATAGCCTTGCGAGAGGTGAGAGTGCTGCATCCAGTGGAAGTAATGTGGTGTACATGAATCGACTGAGAACGATTGAGAAATCAGAAGACAAGATAAGGGCCAGTGTTTCTGTCAGCGCTTCAGCCAGTGCTAAAGTGTCTTGCTCGACGTGGTCTATTGATCGAGAAAACAGAAAAGACACTTAATTTGTGGATCAAGGAAGAGACACAGAAATACTTCCTCGCAGTGGTGCAGTGGTAACGGAGAAGGCTAACTGCCTTTACGAACATTTAGAACAAAGCAAAAGTGAAAGTACCAGTACTTCTCCATTCAAAGAGGGCCCTTCAACCCTTTGAGCCCTCCAACACCCCCACAATAATCATTTATAATAAGTTTTAAAAAATCAGTTTCACTGATTAACATGTATTTTGCATGTGTTTTGATTCTTGTGATACCAAGTTGTGTAGAGTTCGATGAACAAAGGAGGAGGGGTGTTCATTTTAGACCCAGAAACGCGACTACATTTTTCCCATGAAGTCTATTATTTGTCGGACACGGTTTTGCCCAACAGCATTTTCCAGGAACGTAACCCCTGCGTTTGGAAAGATTTTCATGCACGGGGATTGTTTGCTTGCAGTAATTCAGTCGTTAGCTCCGTTTCCTGGAAATTGGCATAAAAATTTCATGGAGGTTGAAAACTGCATTGAACATAATTTTTGTCATCGTGCTATGATACACATGTAGTCCATTTGAGTTCGATTACTTTCACAAAATGTATAATCTCTTGAGTTTTCCGGATTGAATTGCATAGGGTGACCTGAAAGTCAGGACATAGGGATATATTTATTTTAACAAATCACATAGGGTTATTTAATTTTCTTTCTATTTTTTTCATCTGAAAAGAAAAAAATAGATATGAATAATGATAATAGATAACATTAACTTAATGAATATACAATTACAATTATTTTACATCTGTTAAAATATATTCAATTACTCTTATGTGTCCTGACTTTTGGGCCAACCTGTATAATAGGGTGATGGCTTGTGCTGCAGTTAATCTCTTGCAGTATCACTTGTATCAGAGTCCATCAGAAGGTGATTGGAAAGCCAGTATAAGAACCATACTGGTTTTTTTTATGGAACACAACATTTTATTTGTGCAAAGAATGAGTCCAATATACAGATTCATACTTATTGGGTTGGTTGCAGATCATAAATTCAAAGTGAATTTACTCTTCTGGACAATAGTATGTAAAATCTGTAATTCTGGTACTTGTAGTGTGGGTTTATTTTTAATGCCATGTGTCTCTGAATATAGTTGACTCCTTCCCTTTGTGTGGATATTGACAAAAAAAAGTGTAATGCACTGTTTGGCTTTGTACTCATTGAGAGTAGCGTTCCTTAATAAGCCATGCACAACTGACCAGCCTTTCCATTCAGGTGCCCTTCTTAATAAACACTGCGGCTCTCTTTTACAACTTCGGCAAGTCTTGGAAATCAGACCCGGGTGTTGTGAAAGCCACAGAGGAGCAGAAAAAGAAGGTAAGATCAAAGGGTAGTTAGTGCCTAAAGTGCTCACAGTTGTTTGAAACAAAAGCCTTTCTGAAAACATTTTTGAGTCCTTTTAAGGTGATTGCTTAATGTTGGTGACATTTCTACACACTCACTTAATATGTCTATAACTAATTGCATGGTGTGTTTTAAGATGTTAGTTTTAGTATACGCAATCAATGTCCACTTAACGTTCCAATTTTACACACTCTTTATTCTAGGAGATGGGCATGCTTTTTTAAGTCTGCCTGGGCATATTTCTTAAATTTTGAGTGAAATTTGTAATTTTGTCTTATGTTAAATTGCAAAAAATGTCTTCCAAAAAATTGGACCCTTAGAAAAAGCACTGAAAAGTTATAAGCCAAATTGATTCTGTTCATAATTCTATATTACAGATTACAATACATTGTATCCTTCATGATGTTTCTGTCCAATAAGTCTATAACTAAATGTTCAAGGATTGTTTTAACACTTTTATTACACGTGCTTGCGTTGTGTACTTGCGTCTCTGTACTTGTGCCATTTTAAGACTATCGTGGAGTTAGCTGAAGCTGGGAGCTTGGATCTCAGTATATTCTGCAGTACATGTTTGGTAAGCAAAATAGTTAACAATTTATATATTTTTTTTCATAATATTTTTTGGCTATTGTATATTGCTGGAAGTTCAGAATAATTAAAATGTTATTGGGTTGAGTAATTCTCAATATACTTCACACAGTTCTTTATAACAAGAAAATAATTAATAGTTTGCCTCTTGAAACTTATCCAGTGTAATTACTACCATTTTCAGATCCGCAAGCCAGTGAGGTCCAAGCACTGCTCTGTGTGCAATCGCTGTATTGCAAAGTTCGATCACCACTGTCCCTGGGTCGGCAACTGCGTGGGTGAGCATTGCCATCAAAGGTCACCACGTGACGACAGTTCTCATTTTGTGTTTTTTGCACGAGATCCTTAACTTTGATTTTGAGCACACTTGTTTATTTTCAAGGGGTCATGCTCATTGTGCTGTCATTCCATTCCACCCATGCGTAATTTTGAACATTGTGGAATTTCCACCAAGCAGCATTGCATCAAGTGGTCTCACCGATTTAGAGCCTTGTTATTAAGATGAAAGACGCTAGAGAAGTGTTTTAACAGCTCAAGTCATGCAATCATTGGTTCCTTTGCATATGTTGATTTTTACTCTCTTGTCAAGGTGCCGGAAACCACCGCTATTTCGTTGGCTACCTCTTCTTCTTGCTGGGAACTATATGCTGGCTGATCTACGGGTGCATCATATGTGAGTGATAAATTGTGGTTTAAACATTCAGGGTTACTCTTCTTAGAAGATTACTTTTCTATGACATGTTTGTAAACAATGGAATCTCCTTTGCCAGTACCAAAATATGCGAATAGGTTTTACCTTTTTTTTCTGGAAACAAAACAGGTGTCGAGATGTTAAACCAAACCTTTTACAAGAAATCATATCTGCATTAACCACAATACTTGTGGTGAGAATGCAAACAAAAAACTTACTCTAATAATATATGCATTGTCTTTTAAACTGATTGGTCCACACCAGAGACAGCTTTCTTTTGAGCTGAGTCTCAAATGGTGTTAGACCAGAGGGCGCCTTTTGGTGCCCTCTGGTCTAACACCATTTGAGACGAGGCTTTAAAGAAAGCTGTCTCTGGTGTGGACCAATCAGTTTCAAGGACAATGCATATATTATCAGAGTGTTTCTTGTTCTTCAGACATGATTCCTCGTAAAAGGTTTCAGTTTGGTGTTTTAACATCTCGACACCTGTTTTCTTGCCAGAAAAAAGGGGAGAATCTATTCTCATGTTTTTAAACGTTTGTTTTTTGCATGCAAATTCAGTGCCACCTAAACTTTCATATTGATACATTTACATGCAAAGTAAGAACTACATTATACAGAATGTGGTGGCTCATTATATCTTTTATATCAGTTTTATTGGTTTATGGAAATATCCGCAACATATTTTGGCCAACAGATTATGGCAAGGTTATTCTTGGAGTTTAATACATTTTAATTCATTGTTAACTTGGTTCTGACTTACCAAAACACCTTATTCCACATCAGTTATATCTCCATTGAATTCCAGGATGGCATGTTTAGTATTTGAGTCTGGGTATCCATTGTGGTCAACGTTGCGTTCGGATTGTTTAACCGCAGTCTGGAGCCGGCGGTGCCACACGACGTACCACACGGATGGCTTCTGGACATACGTGTCCCAGGTGGCTATGTGCTCGCCCTGGATCTTCTGGATGTTCATCAATAGCCTCTTCCACCTCACCTGGGTCACCATCCTGCTCATGTGTCAGCTCTACCAGGTGTTCATGCTCTCTGATTGTTCTGGTTACACTGAGTACAGACTGCATAGGATTGCGCTATTGCCTCTCAACCCACTAAGTTTGTTCTGGCTCTGGTCAGTGTGATACTTATTATTGTGTTGTGGGTCATTTCACTCTGGAAATTACATTTCAGATGCAGGTCATATGTGCATTCCATACTGAACATATGTGTATCGGGTTCAGCTATACACATGCATCTAATATCTGTCCATATAAACCTAGCATCGCATTTACTTGCGAATCATAAAATGTAACAGGGTAAACATGCAACATTATTTCAATCCTTTCAATCGTGTTCTTAATAGGAGTGTAATTAGTAATAGGTAACATAGACATACCCTGTTTTATACCCAGGATGCGTTCCTGAAAACCAGAACGTAAATTTAAAGTACTTAAATCGAAGCAAAGAGATCGGATGGTGGATCGTAACGTGGTATTATAGTACATAAACAAATGATGCTTAGTTACCCATTGCGCAAATGTACTGTATAACCATAGGTTACAACCATAGGTTATACAGTACATATTATTGATATATTAATATATTACGTTATCTATTATACTACGTGTGTTTTAGTTCTATAAAAACAGTTTGCACTTGTTTCAACATAGTGACCATATATACCGCATGTGGGCAAACACGTTAATAGAGTACACATTAAAGAGACTATAGCCAGTGAGAGATGCTTGCGCTTGGACGCCATCTGGCACCTGATTGTTCGCCGTGCAACGTAAAAGATTCGGGACTTAAAGGTTACTTTTTTTTAATCTCGAGTACCTCGTGACGAGGTACACAGTTACATCAAATGGGATTGGGTATCGATAAGTTGAGTTATAGCGAAAGTACATAAAGCGGGAGGGTATAAATCGGAGCACTACTGTACTAATAATCATACGCTAATGTAATATAATCACAAAACTGATAATATTGTCTTGCTCACCCATGTTAATGTGTCAGATGCAGTGTCTTTGCTTTTACAAGCAATGATTGGGAGAAAAACAAATGTTGCCTTTGTTTTAACTTGTGTGTCTACTCTTTCTTTAAAGATTTCTTGCCTGGGAATAACAACCAATGAAAGGATGAATGCGCGGAGATACAAGCACTTTAAAGTGACTGCCACAACGATTGAGAGCCCATTCAAGTGAGTGATTGTATGATACGTGTTATAGCTGTAACAATTTATTGTGTTCTTTTGCAAAAATTTGGTGTGTTGGCAAACATTTTTTGAAAAGCTTCAAAAGTCACTGAAATAGAAGATAGTGGGCAGATAGTAGCACAGTAAATGTGTGTGAATTTATACAGATATTTGAGTGTTAAATATGTGGATTTTCTCTGGGCACCCTGATTACCTCCCACAGCACTCCAAAACTGTTCAACATTCCAAGGGACAACCTGCAGAAAATCGCATTGAGAGTCATTATGGCTTTCCTGATAAAATACATAACATAAATAACTAAAGTCTTCAGTCATACAGCTTTGTCAGCCTGGAACGAACAAACAATAACAGTTGAGAAGTGTTGTACTTAAGTCAACGTGTGAAGTTATCTTATTCAGTTAAACATTTAATTCCACTTGTTTTGAGTTAAATTGAGCACACATGACTTCGTACAAAGTTTGTCTTCCATTCTAAAGCGGTAAACTTGGTCAGTGAATATTCTTGGTTCTTTCGGTAAAGTCACGTAGAAGGGAAACAATTAAATAATACAAATATAAAATTACATAAAATCCGTGATCTGGTTCCGTCTGTAAAAGATGTGATTCCGGAAATACAGTACCCTGGCGTCTACAAACTAAGTTGCCTCTGTGGTAGTAGTTACATTGGAGAAACCAAACGACATGTCTTCGACCGCATTCGTGAACACAAAGCAGACCTAAAACACGGCAGGACCAACACCCCGGCCGTGGCAGATAACTGTTATAATTCAGTAGGTTCACATGACATTGACTTCTCCAAGACAGATGTTCTTTGCAAGCCATCTGGCTACCATGAGAGATTCGTTCATGAGGCTATCCACATATATAAACACAGAGACAATTTCAACCGAGAAGATGGATTCTGGCTTAGCAATCATTGGAAGGATTTGATAAACCATTTCGGGTCTTAATTGATTGTTCACGCTTAAGGTGGCTATCAGACCGCATCCATTATTTTTCGTCTCCCCTCTCCTCTCTTCCGACCATAGATGGACTCGTCCGTCTGCGCAAACTGTCAAATCTCTCTCCGTGGTGCTAACGTTAAAAATAACCGCACTTTTTTATCATTTTCTTGTTGTGGTTTTCACACCTGATGATGATTGCTTGTGGTGCAGTCGAAACGTCGTGAGAATTTTATTGTTATATATTTTTATTATTTTATGGTTTCCCTTCTACGTGACTTTACCGAAAGAACCAAGAATATGAATCCCTGCAGTCACGAAAGCTTTAAATCAAAATTGGTCAGTGAATGTTTATCTTGTCAATGTATATTTAACTTCTTTCGCACCATACGTAGCCAATCGTGCTAATCGGTCATGCTTTCTCTTCCTCCCCTTGTGCCCTCAATTTATTTCTCCTCCACCATCTGTCCCACGTTTCACCCCGAAGTCATGGCTGCTTCCGCAACTCAGTGGACTTCTTCCAGTGCCGCTGCTGTGGGCTGTGCCGACCCAGCGCTGTGGACTGGACACGCCAGTTCTCCATTGAGTATGACCAGAGTTCCGGCACAGGCTATCAGCTGGTGTAAAGGCCAACGGGCAAGGTCGTGTGCGAAGCTTGCTAGTGTGTGTGCAGGTGGTTGATACTGACTGTACGTTCTTGCTCTCTTCGAGTGGCAAATTTTGAACGCTGAGAACCTTAAACAAATATTGTTATTTATTAATGTTTTTTTTTGCATTGAGGCTGGCAAAGCGTGCATGCATATACACAAACACATGCTATTTAAAACTTTAGTTCAGATTCGGTAATACAAAGTTTCACCTAGCACTCATGAGACTGCACTACTTTGATAGGAAGTTCTTTGTGAAATGTGAAAACATCATGGCCATAGTTTTAGTAATTGCCCATTCTTTTTTTGGTTAATATGTTAGTTTAGAAAATCAGATCTACCATTAAGTGTACTTTTCCAGTGTTATGTATCTTTATTAATTGGTCTCTGAAAATGTTTATGGTCTTGGAGTGAAAATGCACATTCAGTGCATTTTAATGAGCTATCTTGGTTTTTTTACTTCCCTATCATCAAAGTAGTACACTCTCTTGACCCATGCTATTTAATTTCCTTGCAATTAGTGAGGGCAAGAGTTGGAGGAGCAGTGAGACTGAAAAAAGAAGTTTTTTTTTAACAAAGGATGAATGCAAGTGTGTTTAACATTCGGCGAATATTCAGCCCACTATCAAACCAAATAAAGATTGTATGTATGCATTATAGCAGGTAAGTCTTACATGTATTAAGCTTACTATGAACAGAAAAAAACACATAGGTTATATTAAACAATTTTAACATTACACCATTTTACACCCTTTTAGATGGTAGTTGGCAGTGGAATGCCTTGTTTATGTCAATTGCGTCAGGTCCTCTTGCTGTTAAATGTCTCCCATTATTTAAAATTACAGGCTATTTTCAAACTGCAGATGCTTTTGAGTGTACAGATTTGTGTAATTTGTAAGTTTAATTTCAGGTACAGTAGAGCCAATACATTTGTGTCTATTTAGTGGTGAGCTTGACACATCTATAATGTTCCATTAACATTTTTCAATGTGTGTTGTTCCAGGTATGTTTTCTGTTGGAATGAGCATGCAGCACATTTTGATCATATTTACATCCCAATTTGTAAATGATGTTGGATATTGGCATTAACCATATGACATCTTGATCGCTTTTGCATGTCTATGAATGTCTTTCTGTTCACTAGATTAAATTATGAGAAAATGCATTGTCACACAATCTGGAAAATGTGTTTTCAGTTGAAGGCCATACAAGTGTTTGGTAGACATCACATTCTCACATGTTATCTGAAATCACACGGACTAATTAGCAAGTTATAGTTTTATTTTTAACACCAATGGTACTTGACAACACATTTGGATGGTGTATAGTTGAACAGGAAGCATATTGCACCAAGCGGTTTATTGACATTGTCGAGAATAATGTGTACGGAAGTCCACTTTGCCCAGCGGATCAACTATTGACTGGTATTGTCTGCGTAGTAATAGGGGAAACTTTAAGGAATATGAAATTAATGTAGCTGTGGGGTTTTTTTTACTTAGGTTTACCAAACTACTGTATAAATGTGCCAGGATAAGTTTACCCATAATACCGTAATGGCATGATGACAGAGCAGGTTACTATTTATCGTGGAAATGTTGGGCTCTGGTGAAGGTGTATGTACACAGTAGTCACAATTCATGTGGCAATTAAGGCACTCTTACCTCTGACAGACGCACCATTAATACTGGCACACAGGCCACGTTAATGAGAAGCAAGTTTGTTGCCAAGAGATCATGCCTCTAGGCCACCATGTATGTTAAATCCATATTTAACACCTCTCACTTGACCAATATAAATTCAGAATAGTTTTTTTTGGGTAAGATCGTGAAAGTAAAATGTATGTCGTACCCCCTCTTTCCACCCGACATAGCCAATTGCTAAACTTGTCACGAGAACATACGTGCCTTTTCATTACTGCTTCAACACACCAGTGTCGGAGAGGAATCCAATTGTACCCAACCGTTAAAATATTGTAAATTTGAGGGTGTACGACACACATTTTACTTCTGAAACCCAACCCAAAAAATACAAATCCACGTGAATTATCAGTGGCTGACAATGTAAATCATGGGCTTGATTTGAATTGTTCCAATTCTCTTGGTACACAAACATTTAAAGACACTTGTTTATCGACAGCAGAATGATGCATCGACAGCTGTGTTCACTTCAGAGTGTGTAACTGAGTTGGAATCGGGAGGGCTCCTGACAAAAGGAACCGTTTCTCCAGGTGTGAACTTCTAGTTTTAACACTTTAGTGGAATACGTGAAGGTTAGTTGCACAAATTGTCCAAATAATCATGTGCTATCACTATTGTTTGTGCTCTGTTAGTGGAATACGTGAAGGTTAGTTGCACAAATTGTCCAAATAATCATGTGCTATCACTATTGTTTGTGCTCTGTTATGCGAAATGTAAATGTATTTTCTGATAGGTATCCTGAAAACAGCTGCTATAATTCTGAAGCTATTCAAATACTGTATTTGGTATTGTGAAAATACAGTACAAGGTCTAAAAAGATAGTGTCTTTGTGAATAACATTGGTATAAAATTTTGATTTAAAGCTTTCGTGACTGCAGTAATTCATATTCTTAGTTTTTTCGGTAAAGTCACGTTGAAGAGAAACAACAAAATAACAAAATATATATAAAACAATAAAAAATTCTCACGACGTTTCGACCATAACTCAAACGGTCATCATCAGGTGTGTCGGTTTGCATAAATTTATTTTGAAAACTGCATATTTATTTATATATATATAAATAACGTTTGCATCACGCGCAACGATGGCAGTTTGCCAGGACTAGTCCATCTATTTTTTGAAAAGAGGAGGGGGGAGACGAAATTTGTTTTTATGTATGCTGTCTGAAAGGCACTGTAAGCGTGAACAATCAATCAAGAACTGAAATGATTTATCAAATCTTTCCAATGATTGCTAAGATAGAATCCATCTTCTCGGTTGAAATTGTCTCTGTGTTTGTATATGTGGATAGCCTCATGAACGAATCTCTCATGGAAGCCAGATGGCTTACAAAGAACCTCCGTCTTGGAAAAGTCAATGGCATGTGAGCCTACTGAATTAGAACAATGATCTGCTACGGCCGAGGTGTTGGTCCTACCGTGTTTAAGGTCTGCTTTATGTTCACGAATGCGGTCCGAGATATGGCGTTTGGTTTCTCCAATGTAACTACTACCACAGAGGCAACTTAGTTTGTAGACACCAGGGTATTGTATGTCCGGAATCACATCTTTTACAGACGGAACCAGATCACGGATTTTATGTAATGTGTTGAAACGGACCTGGATCTTGTGTTTATTCAAGATTTTGGAGATCTTTTTTGTGATCCCAGCAATGTAGGGTAAAGTGATGGTTTTGAAAGGCTCCTCAAGAGGGTTCTTCTTCATGGTTTGAGTGATAGCTTTGCGGATTGTATAGTCGGAGTAACCATTAGCCCTAAGAGCTTGGTGTACGTGCTTGAGTTCACTGCTTATGTGTTCCTGGTCGGATATGCATTGGGCTCTATGATACAGAGTCTTGATGAGAGAATTCTTCTGTGATGGATGGTGGTGGGAATCCGGTTTCAGATAAGCATCCGTATGGGTAGCTTTCCTGTAGACAGAGTGGCTCATTGAACCATCAGGTCTCTTTTTAATTAGGACATCCAAAAAAGGTATCTTGCCATCTATTTCGACTTCCATGGTAAATCTGATGGCTGGGTGTATGGAATTGATGTGGTCGAAGAATTTGTCTAGAGCAGGCCGGCCATGTGGCCAGATGACAAAAGTGTCATCCACGTACCTCTTCCATAAGGTTGGGCGCAGAGTGGCAGTCTGGATGGCGTCAGTCTCAAATTTCTCCATGAAAATGTTAGCTATAACTGGAGAAAGGGGGGAGCCCATTGGGGTGCCCTCAGTTTGTTTGTAGAACTTTCTACAAACAAACTGAGGGCACCCCAATGGGCTCCCCCCTTTCTCCAGTTATAGCTAACATTTTCATGGAGAAATTTGAGACTGACGCCATCCAGACTGCCACTCTGCGCCCAACCTTATGGAAGAGGTACGTGGATGACACTTTTGTCATCTGGCCACATGGCCGGCCTGCTCTAGACAAATTCTTCGACCACATCAATTCCATACACCCAGCCATCAGATTTACCATGGAAGTCGAAATAGATGGCAAGATACCTTTTTTGGATGTCCTAATTAAAAAGAGACCTGATGGTTCAATGAGCCACTCTGTCTACAGGAAAGCTACCCATACGGATGCTTATCTGAAACCGGATTCCCACCACCATCCATCACAGAAGAATTCTCTCATCAAGACTCTGTATCATAGAGCCCAATGCATATCCGACCAGGAACACATAAGCAGTGAACTCAAGCACGTACACCAAGCTCTTAGGGCTAATGGTTACTCCGACTATACAATCCGCAAAGCTATCACTCAAACCATGAAGAAGAACCCTCTTGAGGAGCCTTTCAAAACCATCACTTTACCCTACATTGCTGGGATCACAAAAAAGATCTCCAAAATCTTGAATAAACACAAGATCCAGGTCCGTTTCAACACATTACATAAAATCCGTGATCTGGTTCCGTCTGTAAAAGATGTGATTCCGGACATACAATACCCTGGTGTCTACAAACTAAGTTGCCTCTGTGGTAGTAGTTACATTGGAGAAACCAAACGCCATATCTCGGACCGCATTCGTGAACATAAAGCAGACCTTAAACACGGTAGGACCAACACCTCGGCCGTAGCAGATCATTGTTCTAATTCAGTAGGCTCACATGCCATTGACTTTTCCAAGACGGAGGTTCTTTGTAAGCCATCTGGCTTCCATGAGAGATTCGTTCATGAGGCTATCCACATATACAAACACAGAGACAATTTCAACCGAGAAGATGGATTCTATCTTAGCAATCATTGGAAAGATTTGATAAATCATTTCAGTTCTTGATTGATTGTTCACGCTTACAGTGCCTTTCAGACAGCATACATAAAAACAAATTTCGTCTCCCCCCTCCTCTTTTCAAAAAATAGATGGACTAGTCCTGGCAAACTGCCATCGTTGCGCGTGATGCAAACGTTATTTATATATATATAAATAAATATGCAGTTTTCAAAATAAATTTATGCAAACCGACACACCTGATGATGACCGTTTGAGTTATGGTCGAAACGTCGTGAGAATTTTTTATTGTTTTATATATATTTTGTTATTTTGTTGTTTCTCTTCAACGTGACTTTACCGAAAAAACTAAGAATAACATTGGTATAGTTATGTAATACTTTCCCCTAGATGATTGCAAAATATTGGATCCGAAGATTTAATGTTAATAAAAAAATTTAAAGCCAAGATTGATTTATTTGCTCATCAAAACATTAAAATACTGTAATTTTTAAATGGAACGTACCTTCATATACCACATAATTATGGTTTACTGCAAAGTCGGCCACAAGTCGGAAGTTGCAGGCCTCAACCAAAAGGTTTTTGCTTGGTCACTGTTATTTTCATAGTTTTTGATAAAATTATCGAAATTATATCACAAGCATGGGGAAGTGTGATGTTCATTTTCAAATTTTTTTTTTATTTCTAGCCATTGTGTTTAGATATTGATGTGATTTGGAGCTGTCATTGTTACATCATACTTAAGTGAAATCACGTGACAATTGTAATGTTTTCAATTTGATCTAATTTGGGTGGGAGAAACGGGGTAGAAAAAGGGATGTAATGTGAATGACGATTCGGGCTGTCAGCAAAACAAAGCAAGTAATTTGTATATAATGGAGGCTGTATAAAGCTGAGTGATAATTTCTTAACATTTATTTCTATGTTATCACTGTAAACTAACCAACCACGTTTCGCCAGTATGCACAAATTGTTATAATAGGCTTGTTGCTGCCTGACGTCTATTGGCTCCCCCGGCCTGCTTGAAAACGTCCTGGGTAAAAGGCTGCAACTACATTGAAAGTACCATGCAAAGAAATATAAATCTGTGGACATTGTTAACTTAGCGTTAAGCAGCCACAGAATTCAAAGCTTGTAGCAGTGAACAACACTTTCTAGTTTATTTTCTTAGGCCTCAATTAAGCAATGGTTATGGCTCCTAAGATCTCGTGTTTTTATGTTGAACAGAATAATTAATATAGCGGCTTAAACTAATTCGGGCAATTAAGGAAACGTGTGAAAGTGTGCTAGCTCATACCTTTGTTGAAATAACTAGACAAACTGGGCAAGGAAAATGTAACTGAGTGCCACCGAATGCAAGACAGGGTCTTCCCATCAGTGGAAAACATGGTGTGGCTATTATATATAAATTCATGTTATTGCATACTTCAATTCATTTTGTATGTAATAGCCTCACCCTGAAATCAGCGCTCTATAAAGTCTGAGCTTAAGCATACGTGTTCCACTGAGTTTTCATGCTAACGTAGTCGCCTCGTATTAAGTGTGCGTGTGTGGGTGAATTTTAAAGGGCCCGGATAGAGTCATACAAATTAAACATGCAATTTGCAATATTTCCTGTTGAAAAAAAATGCTAAATTGTTTGAAACAAGCTCGCATGACTACAAATCGTATTGCATCAATGTTTACAAGGTATGTTTTATGCTTGGTGCATATCATTGTGTTCGGCAGTCTGTGTTGTGTGCTAGAAAAAAAAATCGTGTGAACAATTTAAGGGAAAATATGTACCTTAGACACTTAAGGGTATGGTGAAAATATATAAATATTGACTTTGCTGTGTACAGTTGTTGGTTGTAGTTGTGCATTGCCACTTGCTTTTCTAGGACAGGAGGCCAAGCAATGTTATAAAGTTTATCATTATAAATTGTGTAAATGATGCCCAAT